ACTCCACAGCACAGTTGTAGGGATCCATTATACAGCACAGAAGGAGGCCATTCGGCCCATCGTGTCTGGGTTGGCTCTTTTAAAAGAGCTTCCAAATCAATCCCATTACCCCTCTCTCTCCCCATAGCCCTGCAAACTTGTCCTCCCCAAATAATTATCTTAAAAGTTGTTATCGAATCAGCTTCCAAGATATCTGGGGGTATAGTGTATAGTTTGGGACACGACATGTCAAGCGACTGCCAGGATGGTGGGAGGCGATATAGATGGACCTTGGTCTTCTTTCACCAGCAATTTCTTATGTTCTTATAAAACTTTGTCCAAATATCTATTTTGACGGTTAAAAACCAACCACAGGACAAAACCCCTGACTCACCACCTCCCCTCTCTCTTCTCCAACCACGGTAACACTCGTCAGTTAATTAACCTTCCATTATACTGTGCCACACCTATAATATTCACAGCCTCAAAGCGCTTCACAGGGCATTGATGCTGAATAGATAATAGCGCATTTGAAGGCAAGTACTAAGACATGTGAATGTGAATGACTAGTTCATCTGGATCTGAATGATTGCCAGTCAGGGCACAGAGAGAGAAAGAGTGAGAGAGGGACAATAGAGGGAGTTGTGCTGTAACATTTCTCTCCACATTGCCTGCTCTGAGATGAATGTCACAGCGCCTCACAATCTTCACATTATCACTAAGACCAGAAAGACAACAGGTTGTGAGGATGTGGAATGTTCTGCTCGAGCTGATCCGAGCTACAGAATCAGTCATCTTTAATATCATTTTATTTTGCCCAGACGAGTGTCTGACACATGCAGTGGGGGTGATGGGGTGACACAGTGGGGGTAATGGGGTGACACTGTGCGGGTGATGGGGTGACACTGTGCGGGTGATGGGGTGACACAGTGGGGATGATAGGGTGACACAGTGGGGGTGATGGGGTGACACAGAGGGGGTCAGCATGCTTAAGAGTATCCAAACCTAAGGTTTCGCCCCACCTGGGAATTGAATCCAGGTCCTCTCGCTTGCAAGGCAAGGGAGCTGACACCTCGCTGCGGGAAGATGGCACCTGTGAGACTGTAGTCAGTCCTGTCCTGGAGTGCCAGCCTGGGCTGTGAGCTCCGAGTCCTGACACCGAGCCCGCTCACACAAAGAGCCTTCCCTGTGGAGCTGTCTGAAGAGTATAATAGGAACGTAGGTGAATTATTGAAGCAGAGGCACAAGCGGAACATTCACAGCGGGAACTCATCACCTCCAGGTGACCACAGGTGATGAGGAGTTTTGAGAACAAATCTGTTTAAGAAGGAGATAGATGCACATGTGAGAAGTTCAGGCAGGGAAACAGAGTCCTGTGGCTCAGTGGTTAGAGCTCTCGCCTCGCAAGCGAGAGGACCTGGGTTCGATTCCCGGGCAGGGAGAAACGTTGGGCAAGTTTCCTTACTCCACACGCCTCGGGTTACCAGCAGTGAGTAGGAACCCAGTTGTTAGTTGATTGGCGAATCGCTTTCCGGGGGTCGCTTTCCGATTGGCACCGGCCTCCTGCTTGTCCCTCACACCCTGCGTTTCACCATCGGAGCTCGTGCTTTCAGCCACTACACCCCGAACTTTGGAACACTCTCCCTCAATCCCTCCGCCTTGCCCCCTCTCCCCTTTTTCAAGTCCCGCCTTAAAACCTTCCTTTTCGACCGTGCTTCGACCGTCAGGCTCTGCCACTGTTAAGCGCCCTGTGCATGTTGTTGTTGTTCTTGTTGTCGCACAGTACAGGTTGTGTGGAACCCACTCCCAACAAGTGCAGGTGTTGCTGCTTTTATTACCCAAGGAGATGGTTCAGAACATGGGATGGACAGAGAAATAGATCAAACACACATCAGATCTGCATTGACCATTTTAGAACCTCCAGAATTTGGCAAATTGTTCAATTCTGCCTTAACTTTGAAATTGTCTTTCTCGAGACCCTCGAGGAAACGTACAGAAAACCAACTTCAAAATGAAGGCCGTGTTTAAGAATTTCGTTCTGAAACGATGAAGTAAATTCAGATCGCAGGAGGTGGGGGGGGAGGGGGGCAGTTATTGCAACACCGAAAACAACAACATGCACTTATATAGCGCTCTCCTCGCAGGATAAGCGTCTCAGAGGGCTTAACAGTGGTGGAGCCTGACTCCAAGCCGGGGAGGGGTGGGGTGGGAGTGGGGTGTTTGTGGCTGTAAGCACAGTCCAACAAGAAAGTCTTCAGGAGGGACTTGAAAGAGGGGAGAGAGGGGCAAGGCGGAGGGATTGAGGGAGAGTGTTCCCAAGGTTTGGGGTGTAGTGGTTGAAAGCACTAATAATAATAACTAATGATAATAATATTTGCAAAGCAGCTAATAGTTCAGGTACAGGAGCAGAAGCCCACTCCGCCTGTCGGACATTCGGACACGTTGTTAGTCTGTGAGCTGTTTACATTAATAATAAATTGCATTTGTCAAGATGCCTCAATGCACTTCACAGGATTTTACAGTAAAACGTAGTGACTGTGTATTGCGTAGGTGAACGCAGCGGCACATGCTAACGTCCCACAAACGAGTGAGCGATCTTTAACGTCCACCTTTACAGGCAGACGGGACGTGGGTTTAACGTCTCATCCAACATAAAGGGTCACCTGAGAGCAGTGGTGGCCAATTTGGTCAACCAAATACATTTTCTTGGCTAAATATTTATTGATTCATGCCATAACTCAAAAAATATTCACTGAAGGAAAACCTGGAAACACACTATTGATTGAACATGGACTTACCCAGAGACTTATGCTTCTTGATTGTCTTGTGGGCCGTGTTGTTGCTATTGGCGAGTAATAAGGTCTATCCGGTGATTGCTGAACGGTTCCTAGTGTGGGCAATTTAGGGCAAGGTCAGATTCTATCCATCCAACGTCTATATGTGTCTTTCTTTACGTTCTCAGATGTATTCTTCTCCCTTGACAAGGAGCGAATAAAGGGCAGAAAGATTCCACATGGCCCCCGGCCTTTCCCATTGACGAGTTAGTCACCTTTATCTGGTGTTTAATCCGTCTGTCCCACCGCTCAGTGCTTTGCTCATGGGGGTTGGGGTGGAGGTGGGGAGCACTGTGAGTTTATTGCAAGTAGCGTTCCTGTGGTACTGAACTCCCGGCACTGAGATCAACACAGGAGGGTTAATCTATAATATATACTGTATATATAATACAATAATCCTTGCATTTGATACAGCGCTTATCACATCTTCAAGACGTCTCAAAACGCTTCACAGAATATACTGTGTAGCGAATTGACTATGTTTAGTGGGCGAAACGCAGCAGTTAATTGCGCCCAGCAGTGTCCCATAAACAGTCGTGGATTGAGTGACCAAATTATTATTTTTTTAAAAAAATCTTGAAGGGATTATTACCTCATTCGACTAACAACCGAATTCCTACTTACTGCTGGGTAAACAGAGACGTGGGGTGTAAGGAAACTTGTCTAAGGTTTTGCCCTGCCCGGGAATTGAACCCAGGTCCACTCGCTTGCGAGGTGAGTGCGCTAACCACTGAGCTACCGGACTCCACTGATGAAAGATTTATGCTGCGTTATACTTATCTGCAGCCCGTGTTCTCTCCAGCACCAGGCTCCGCGACCCCATCACCCCACTCCTCGCCCAAATCCACTGGCTTCCATCACACAGAGGATACAATTCCTCACCTTCAAAGACTCCACGGCCTTGCTCCCCCCTACCTCTATGACCTTCTAACCCCCTACCAACCTGCCCGCTCCCTCCGCTCAGCGGGCTCCGGCCTGCTTCATGTCCCCCAAGTCACACACCCCACCATTGGCGGGTGGGCCTTCTGCCACTCTGCCCGCACCCTCTGAAACTTCATCCCGCAGTCCCTCCGCCTCGCCCCTTCTCTTGCCTCCTTCAAAACCATCGTCACAAGACCCTCCTCTTCAACCATGCTTCACCCTCACGATCCCAACCCCCAGCTCGGATCCAAAACTCTGCCTGTCTAGCGCATTGGGATGTCCTCCTGACGTGAAAGGCACGTTACAAAAGTAATTTTGTTGTTGTTGTTGCAGCCACAGAGAGCTGCCATTGATTCTCATTGTTAACTGCTTGACTTCCAATCATCAATGACCAGTTCCACCTCTTTAGGTTGTTAGGAAGAACAGGACAATTCCATCCTCCTGGGACGCTCAGTTTTCCAGCTCACATTGCAGTCTTGAACCTAGTCTTGAGTCGGAAGCGTCGATCCAAGGATTTAAAAAAAGATTGGATTTAAGACTGCCAACATTAGATTCTGAGGTATTTTGTACGTTAGATTTCCATAGCCCATAGCATTTGCCTTGCAAATGTTAAGTCCTGGGTTTGCTTCCCAGGCAGAGCGAAACCTTAGGCAACTCTCCATAATCCACACGCCTCTGTTTATATAGCAGTAAGTGGGAATCCAGTTGTTAGTCGACTGGTGGATTACTTTTCGGGGATAATAATAATCGCTTAAAAATAATGATCACTCGCTTCCTGATTGTGCACAATTGACTGCCACGTTTTGTCCACAAAATATACAGTCAATTCACTTTACAGTATATTCTGTGAAGCGCTTTGAGACATCTCGAAGACGTGATCAGGCGCTGTATCAAATGCGAGGTTATCATGGTTCTAATGTCAGATGTGTGTTTGTTACCCAAACACTGACCCCCCCCAATTACCAACCAGGACCTGATTAAACATTAAAGAAACGGCAAAATACTGGGAATCTGAAATAAACACAGAAATAGCTGGGAACACTCAGCAGGTTAGACAGCATCTATGGAGAGAGTAAAGTGTGTTAACATTTCAGATCAATGACTTTTCGTCAAATTAACCATGGTCTCTCATCCCTCACCCACCCCCCCACCCCCACCCCACCACCTTTTATTTATCACTTGAGACATTCTGATGATTTTCTTTTTTTAAGCATTTCTGTGTTTTTTTCCCCTTTCTCTCTCTCTCTCTCTTACTCTTTCCTCCAGACTGCTTCCCTCCGCGCATCCGCCTCCAGGCCGGAGGCCGGGACGATCTGGAACATCGACTCCTCCACAGCCGCCTGCAGTGCCACTCGCTCATCAGCTGGCGGGAGGCCAGGCTCCAACGCGGTGAGTTGTTCATCATCCAGTTACTTCCTTCTCTTCCATGGAATCATAGAATATCACAGCACAGAAGGAGGCCATTCGGCCCATCGTGCCTGTGTCGGCTCTTTGGAAGAGCTACCCAACCAGTCCCACTCCCCCGCTCTTTCCCCATATCCTTGCAAATTTTTCCTCTTCAAGTCCCTATCCAATTCCCTTTTGAAAGTTGTTATTGAATCTGTTTCCACTGATCCTTTCAGGCCGTGCATTCCAGTCCCTAACAACTCTCCGTGTAAATTTTTTTTTTGCCTCATCTCCCCTCTGGTTGCCAATTATCTTGACCCACCCGCCAGTGGAAACAGTTTCTCCCTGTCTGCTCTCTCAAAAGCCCTCATAATATTGAACATCTCTATTAAATTGCCCCTTAATCTTCTCCTAAACCACTACCTGTTTGTGGGACATTGCTGTGCGCAATTGGCTGTCGCATTTCGCCCACAAATATACAGTCAATTCACTTTACAGTATATTCTGTGAAGCACTTTGCGACGTCTCAATGATGTGATAAGGCGCTATATCAAATGTAAGGATTATTGTACTATTACCTCCCCACCAAAATGTTTGTAGGGAGGGAAAAAGCTCAGAACCTTCTCAATACTGGTCATAAGAGAGGTTTCGATGAAGAAGGTCCTTCCATTTGATCTCTTCCCTCCATAAAAACGTTCCATACTTTCTTCCCATCACAGCATTGAGCTGCTTCTTAAATGAGTCCCAGTGACCTGGTTCCCAACCATCCTTCCTGGTCACCTGTTCCAGTTGTTAATTACCCTCTGAGTAAACAATAACAACTACAAAATTACATGTGTAGAGCGCCTTTCACGTCGGGAGGACGTCCCAAGGCGCTGGACAGTTTTGGACCTGAGCTGAGGGTCAGGATCGGGAGGGTGGAGGGCAGGGGGGGAAGCAGGGTTATTGAAAGCACAGTCGAAGAGAAGGGTCTTGAGATGGGTCTTGAAGGAGACAAGGGAGGGCCGAGATGGAGGGACTAAGGGATGGAGTTCTAGAGGGTGGGGGCAGGGTAGCCAAACCCCCACCCACCAATGGTGGGGCAAACGAGGCGGGGGCCGGGAAGCAGGCCGGAGTTTGCTGAGCAGAAGGAGTGAGCAGGATCGTAGGGGGTTAGGACTTCGCAGAGGGAGCGAGGCCATGGAGGGCTTTGAAGGTGAGGACCAGGATCTTGAACTGTATCCTCTGTGTGATGGGAAGCCAGTGGAGTCGGGCAAGGATGGGGGTGATAGGATTGTGGATCCTGGTGCGGGAGAGGACACGGGCTGCAGAGTTCTGGGTGATCTGCAGGCTGTTGGGGGAGGAGTTGGAGAGGCTGACAAGCAGTGAGTTTGCATAGTTGAGCCTCGATGTAATGAAGGCGTGTATGAGGGTTTCCTGCGGCCTGCGGTGTGAGACAGTGTCGGAGCCGCGCAACATTGCAGAGGTGGGGGAAGGCAGAGCAGGTCATGGAGCAGATGTGGGGCAGAAAGGATAGTTGAGGGTCAAACAAGACCCCAAGGTTCCGGACTGGCTTAGCAAGGTGGAGTGTGCAACCATGGATGGTGATGCTGTCAGCGCCTGAGGTGAGGAGGCGTTGACGGGAGCCAATCAGGAGGGCCTCGGTCTTGTTACCGATCAACTTCGGACATCCTCCCGACGTGAAAGGCGCTATACAAATGTAATCTTGTTGTTGTTCAACTGAAGAAAGTTCGCTCTCATCCAGAACTTGATGTCTGACAGACATTCTGTCAGGACAGCAGTGGTCCTAGAGTCAAGGGTGGAGGCAGAGAGATACAGTTGGGTGTCATCCGTACACTTGTGGAGATTGACCCCATGTCTGCGGATGATGTCACCAAGAGGGAGCATATAGATGTTGAAGAGGAGGGGACCAAGGACAGAGCCCTGAGGAACGCCGCACAAGATGGTCCGGGGGTTGGAGGAGAAACCGCTTGTGGAGATGAAGTGGAGGCGGTGTGAGAGGTACAATCTGAACTAGTCAAGGACAGTTGAGATGTTAGGAAAGGTGATGGATGAGGATAGAGTGGTTGACGGTGTCGATGGCAGCAAAGAGGTCAAGGAGGACGAGGAAACAAAGGGAGCCCTGGTCGCAGATGGACAGAATGTCATTTGACACTTTGACCGGGGCTGTTTCTGTGCTGTGGGCGACAAGGAAACCAGATTGGAGGGGTTCGTGAAGGGAGTGGCAGGAAAGAAAGGAGTGAAACTGTGAAGCAACAACTCTTTCCAGAACCTTGGAGAGGAAAGCGAGGTTGGAGACGGGGCAGTAGTTTGAGAGTAGAGATGGGTCCAGGGAGGGTTTTTTAAGGATAGGATCCCCTTGACTTTGGATTCGAGGAAGTCCAGCATCGCCTCACAGTTGGCATTTGAGGTGAGGATGGGCGAGGCATATGAGGGTGGGCGGAGAAGTCGGTTGGTGAGGAGCCTGGGGTTGTCCTTGGCCTCCAAGATTATCTTGGAGTAGGACACCGATTTAGTGGTGGCAAGAGCAGAGTGATAAGATTTGATAAGGTTCCAGCCAGATCTAAGTTAAGTTTGATTTAAGCCAGGTGCGTTCATTGGCTTTGAGGGAGCAGATGGGCTGGTGTAACAGAGTAAAGAAATATTTCCTGGTGTCTGTCTTGAAATTGTAATAGTGAAAAAAAACTCTAAACTCCTGTTGTGATGTTTGCTTGGCTTATCTGAAAGTATTGTTCTTCTCAAACCCTTCAGGTCTTCTCTGAGGCATCTCTACCCAAGGCTGAACCACTGAAGCTTAGCGCTCTCATTCCATCAAATAAACATGGGGAGGGGAGAGTTTTCCTGAACCTCTGGGTGGGGGTGGGGTAGGGAGATGAGGTCTCTTTAAGGCTGATATTTTTAGTATTCAGGATGATGGTGTACTCTTAGGTTACAGTAAGGTTGTCACAGAGTTTGATGTTGGCCTTTACTGTGACAGCATTGCTATGTCAACCGTTTAACTCAGCTTCCAAACTGCAAATCAAGATGTTGCTTAGGAGGGTTCAGCAAAATTGTTGCCCTGTTGTGTCTGCTTCTATTTTAGAAAGTCTGTAGGCCCTGGAGATTTGTAATGATCAAAATGTCAGCTACAGAGAGAGAGCAAAAGAGAGAGAGACAGACGAGGAGAATGGGGGAGCGTGAGAGAGAGAGAGCGAGCAAGAGTGTGTTTGAGAGAAGATAGCAGGGGAGAAAGCGAGAGAGAGAGAGAGACAGAGAGCAAGAGAGAACATGAGAGAGAGAGAAAGACTGCGTGTGTGTGTTGTGTGAGAGAGAGAGAAAGAGAGAGAAAAAGCTCTTCCACAGCCCATGAGAGATGAAAACATTTCTGTGAACGGCTTGAGTTGGCTGTGTCGGATGTAAGAGGCTTCAGCCGAGCACTTGATAATTTAGGTCAGACGTGTGATGACTGGGGGTTTAAGGCTCTCGAGGCTGGGAGATTGGGAGGCTGGGAGATTGGGAGGCTGGGAGGTTGGGAGATGGGAGGCTGGGAGATTGGGAGGCTGGGAGGTTGGGAGGCTGGGAGGTTGGGAGATTGGGAGGCTGGGAGGTTGGGAGATTGGGAGGGTGGGAGGCTGTGAGGCTGGGAGATTGGGAGGCTGGGAGATTGGGAGGTGGGAGGTGGGAGGGGGGGGGGGTGGGGGGGGGGGAGGTTGGGAGGCTGGGAGGTTGGGAGGCTGGGAGGTTGGGAGATTGGGAGGCTGGGAGGTTGGGAGATTGGGAGGCTGGGAGGGTGGGAGATTGGGAGGTTGGGAGGCTGGGAGATTGGGAGGTTGGGAGATTGGGGTGGGGATGGGAGCTGGGAGATTGGGAGTTGGGAGGCTGGGAGGTGGGAGGTTGGGAGATTGGGAGGTGGGAGGCTGGGAGTTGGGAGGCTGGGAGATTGGGAGATTGGGAGGCTGGGAGGTTGGGAGGTTGGGAGATTGGGAGGTTGTGAGGCTGGGAGGTTGGGAGGGGGAGGTTGGGAGGCTGGGAGATTGGGAGGCTGTGAGGCTGGGAGGTTGGGAGGCTGGGAGGTTGGGAGGCTGGGAGGTTGGGAGGCTGGGAGGTTGGGAGGCTGGGAGGTTGGGAGGCTGGGAGGGGGGGGGGGGGGGAGATTGGGAGATTGGGTGGGAGGTTGGGAGGCTGGGAGGTTGGGAGGCTGGGAGGTTGGGAGGCTGGGAGGTTGGGAGGCTGGGAGGTTGGGAGGCTGTGAGATTGGGAGGCTGTGAGATTGGGAGGCTGGGAGGTTGGGAGGCTGGGAGGCTGGGAGATTGGGAGGCTGGGAGATTGGGAGGCTGGGAGGCTGGGAGGGTGGGAGGTTGGGAGGTTGAAAGGCGGAGATGGCATTTTTTCAATTGTATTAAATGAGGAAGAACATATACACAACACAGTCCTGTCAGGGACCAAAGCTTTGGTCTCCACATGACAGCAAGAACTGCCTACACAAAGCACAGGCCGCCACACACCACAGCCGTTACCTGGGAAGCAGTTTTTGAGACATGTTGATTCAATATTGATAAAAATTGCACTTTTTTCTTTCCCTCTCTCTTTCATTCTCTCTCTCTCTCTCTCTTTCTTTACCTCTTCCTTCTTTATTCATGAGCGAAGCAAACACTTCACTATCCCTACAGCGGAGGCTTGTCTTTATAGGACTTTGTGCTTTGCACCAAGGTTGTCTCTCCTGCACACTCCTGAACACCTACACGTAAAAGGTGACCTCTCCTCTCCAGCCTCTCAACCAGACCTGGTGACTGTATATAACGGGCACCTCAAAGACTCTGGAACACCTCACTTCCCTTAGTCATCCCTTTCTCCTAAAATCAACAGGCTTTTCAGTTGTGCATCAGGCTGGGCCTTGACACCATCGTCTCCTTGTCCTCTGAGTCAGTGTCCTGCTCCACGGTTGTGTTCCTTCACCTCAGGCAAGTTTCCTTACTCCACACACACACACACACCTCTCTTTACCTAGCAATGAGTAGGAACCT